TAATACCAGTACAGGATGCTGGATTAGAGCAGCTGGCTAGCTTCCTGTGGCCTATTTCTGAGCTTTCTCTATAAGACAGCTGCAGTACTTTCAGCAAAGAAACAAATGCTAGTACGCTTCAAAGTTTCTGGCGCCTAATGATAGCCACCCATTTCACTGGCATGCTGTCACATCCATCCCCACTCCGATCCCCAATAATTTAATACCACATTATTATTGGCATGAAGAAGCTGCAGATTTATTAACACACAAAATATCCAGCTAAACAAGCATTAATCATGCACATTACATCAAATTAACATGTAGAAAATTAATATTCTTGACCTTGCCAGTGGGCAGAATAATAAATCTTGAAGTAGAATATTACTCTAGTGAAAGGTACCAACTACTCCAACCAATGTGTGAGAGAAGCATGGATCTCTCCACCTAGAAATAACATTTCATTCCAACAACAGACAGTCCTGCCCCCTATGAAACAGAGCCTCTGACCTCTGTAAGGAGGAATAATAGCTAGATTGCTATGCTTGTGTAAAGAAAGCATTGCCATTCACCATTTATGTTGCCACTCTTGGGGGAGGAAAAACCATTACCAGTATAAACATTTTGATTTAGCCGCACAGTAGCCTCCCATATTTGTAGAAATATGGTGGACTGATATTGGTTCTCACTGCTTGCATGGTGTGCATGGAGTATGTCTGTGAGTATATCCATGTATGTACAGTATGTGCATGTATAGGTTGTTTTGGGCAGTGATGTAGCACAAGTTATTTCTCTAGCGAAGAAATGATGCATAGCTCAGTTATGAAGGTAATTTCCTCTTGTATGGAAATGAATTCCATTATATTACCGCTTAATGTTATGTATTTATATTAAATGTGTTAATTTCATTTTTACCTAGCAGTTTAGTTAATAATTATAACAAATGTTAATGAGGGAGCTGTCTGTTCTCGACTTCTCTCTACCTGTACCAAGGATAGGTTTCTTAACTCTTCTGATATCTTAATTTTCCCTACAAACCCAGTGCCATTCCAGGAAAGCATTTTCCTTGTTTTGTCAAATGGACTGTCACAATCATAGAAACATTTGGGTTGCAAGTGACTTCCCTGGGGTCACCTAGCCTTGCAGGATGTAAAGTGAAAAGTTTTGTGGGGAGTGAGTTTGTTTGTTTTTGTGGAGGGAAAAAAGCCAGAATAGAACTACATAATTGCTTTCATTTTAATTCTTACTAATTTATTTTGCCTTTTAGAGGCACCTTTAAAGTCATCCCGCCCCCAGACTGTGCTGTTGAGGTGTTAAAGAACATACACGTACCTCACTGTTTTTCAAACATTTACTTTACATATGAAAAATATGAAAATAGGAAAAAGGACAAAGAAAATAAACCCACACAAATGAACATGGGACTGGGTGATAGGGGATGGATCACTTGATGATTACCTGTTCTGTTCATTCCCTCTGGGGCACCTGCCATTGGCCTCTATTGGAAGACAGGATACTGGGCTAGATGGACCTTTGGTCTGACCCCGTATGGACGTTCTTATGTTCGAACATTGTTGCAACTTATATTTAGTGTCCCGTGCAGACAGACGGAATAAATAGGTGACCAGCTGGGAAATGGCACCAGTTCCAGTTGGTTTGGATGAGGGTGGTTTACATCTTGCTCCTTCTCATAGGTACCCTCATCTTCCGCACAAGGGAAGGGCATAAAGGTTCTCAGCCCTGGCTAGATCTCTAGTGGAGAGAGTAGGGGGTAGCGCTGAGTGTCATTTTCTCTGTCACTTGTTTAATTGGATAACCTTACTGCACTGGACCCAAATAACTGACTGGAGCTGAAGAGGGTGCAGTCCCCTTTTCCCCCATGTTGCTTTGGGATTAGTTTATTAAAGTTGCACCCTCGTACGCTGGACCGATTCCTGCTCTGCATGTCTTATTTCCTGTGTGCCTGAATCAAAACTCTGATGTCACAAACTCAGCTTCATGACTCCATCATGGGAAGGAGAAGAGCAGTTATCAAGGAGATAACACACAGATATGCTTGATAATTGGTAAAAAGGGTAAAGAAAGGATGCTGGAGATTTTCAGCTAACATAAAAGTCACTCTTCTAAAAGTGGTGAATATGACAACACAAGCAGCTCAGACCAAGCAAAATTCCGAAGGTTTCAATAGCCAGAGAAACCTAAATGTAAGGAAAAGCAATCACTAATCAGGGACTAGATTGTGCAAGCTTTGCTCATGCTGGTAAGCACCTATTCACACAAGTAGTTTTATTAACGTCCAGGAACTACTCTACTCACTGTTATGAGGGTGGGTGGCAATCTCTAGCCCTACATGAATAAAGGGAGAAAAAGCCAGGCACACTGATAGACCGCCTCAGTGTGCTGCCTCAGGATGCAGGTGTGAAAAGGAGATCGTACTAGGGCAGGCAGTGTGACAGTAACTTCCCTTTTCCTTTATGCCGTAAAGAGGTGATTTCTGTTTGGGAAGGGAAGTACAGGGACAGGAGTTTTTATTTAAAAAAAAAAAAACCCACACAAACAAAAATACACCTGTTTTCACGAAGAGGGTTCCACAGAAAAGGATTGTGCTATTTCAGGCTACATTTGCTTTTCATCATAGGGTCTGCGACATAACTTCTTTCTTCCTTTTCTTTTAAAATTCATGTCTCTTGGAGCTTTGGAATTGTTCTTCAGTTACTGATCATTGGTAGCAAATTATTCAGATCTTGTCATTGTCTTAAAATTCTCACTTTCAGAGGGTGGTTTGCATCGTTTGGGTCTGCTGAGCTGCATGCTTTCGCTAGAATTGAGAAATACCCTGGTGCAAATAACTAAAATAAGACAACTTTTATTGTTCCGTAAGAGGATGAAAGTGCTGAATGAATGACATTGTGTGATTGTAAACGCTTTGGAGCTTGGACTGTGAGTGTTTATACTGTGCCCAGCACAATGGCACTGATTCTGATTGCAACCTGTTGGCACTTCTGTATTATAAATATTTCCGAGTAATTGGGTGACCAGACATCAAGTGTGAAAAATCAGGACGGGGGCAGGGGGTAATAGGCACCTATATAAGAAAAAGACCCAAAATCAGGACTGTCCGTATAAAATCAGGACATCTGGTAGGTGATTAGAGAAGTTTTACAGTCAACCTAAATATTTCTAAAGAGCATAAAATTACAGCAAAATAGACAGTAGTTACATTGTCTTTAGATTCAACCTACGTATTTTTAATTTTAAAAATACAGTCTTGACATCTCTTCAGATATATTGCACATTTGATCTGAAACACCTAGGCACAGTTGTGTGTTGCTCTGACTTCATATGTTTGTGCTTTCAAGGGTTTAACTCAGAATACAAGGGCCAGATTATAACCTCACGTGGTTGGAAGCAGTTTTGCTAAAATCGTCAATGTGAGAAGGCACTAGTAAATTTTTTTTTTATATATTTCCCAACTGATTGCACCACACTTCTTTTGAAAGTGGAAGTGTCTAACTTCAGTGTTACTTTAACAGTTATTTTGTCATTAGTGCTTCACTTAAAAACAATCACCCTGAAAAGAAGCATGAAAGATTTCTAATGATAGATACATGATATATAGCCATTAAACTTTTCTCCTTCCACTGCCCTGGATGAAATAGCTTCATTTGATCAATATACGGTGTACACTTTTGCTTGAATAAACAGGCTGTATAGATTGTTGTGTATGCTGAACTGTGCCATGCTTGGCCAGATGCCCTCACATTCCAGGTGTGTTATGAAGCCAAATGCCTTCAGCCATTTGAAAACTATGGATATCTATTGCAATTGCATTTTTTTAAGCATATTATTATTTTGGTAATAGATATCTAGGAAGTTCTCCATGTATTGTTATATGGTTAGTTTAGTTCTTTAAAAAACAGCAACAAAATATTATCTAATATGCATCTATTTATATGTATTTTATCTTTTCACTTATTTTTACATTAAAGCATTCAGTAGAAATAGATTAGTTTGATCAATTACTGATCGCGCTCTTAATGTTTTGATAGAATTTTCCTGCCCAAAGGCATTACTTTTATGTGTAAAATACACATAGGGTGCCAGTATGAAAAACTAACATAAAGCTCATCAGTTCCTAACTATCCTATTCAGGAAGAGTGTATTAGATTTACATCACCAGTTGCATTACTTAAAAAAAAGACAGAATCCCTGTTGGGTGCCCATGTAGCTTATGCTGCGTAAATATTGACAAAGTAGTCTAAAGAGCAAACACTTTGACATTTGTAAGGTCCACTGGAAGGTCTTGTATATATTTATACAGCAAGAATGAGTACAGCATACCAATTTTCTTGAACTTGTCCCTGACATAATTCTGCATGGGCTTTCTTGTTGGGAAGAGAAGTGTGTTTAAATGTGAATGGGTCATTTGTTGCATCTATAATGAATATCTTGAATCACTGTTAGTCAGGTATTTCCGAATTTAGAGTCACCAGCTTTACCACACACAAAAAGAAAAGAAATCTTTTTTTAATTTATTGTAATCAATGTACATTGTTTTTACTTTGTAGGAATTTTATTGATGTTTTTTTCCTTTATATTTATTGAAAATTGAGTCTCAAAAATGTAATGAGTAAAAAATGCTTGCTTAATTTAAATTGTGAATCTGTCTGTTAAGAAATGCATTAGGGGTAGGAGAAGCATAAGACATATTAATTGACAGACAGGAGCTGCTGTCTCTGAGGTTGATACAAGTAATTTATTACTTTAGAAATGAATGCCACCTCCAGAATGTGCTTCATTAATTTCAAATTTAGTTTTAATTTCAAGCTGTTGCCCCTTGAGAAGAATAAGGTGGCAAATTATGTTTGAAGAGCAGATTTTTTTTCTTGCTCTGAAGAAACATTACATTTTAACTGTTTAATTTTACAAATAAATGCAGTTCTTTAGCTGAAATATTTAAACAGCTGATGGAAAGTATGATCCACAGTCACTAACTCTTGTTTTTATTTTGTCCATGATAGCCTATGTTTCAGATGAACTGAAGGCTGCAGCACTGGTGGAGGAAGACATGGAACCTGATGAAAATGCAACTGATGGGGAACCTTCAGCAAAATACGTGTGCCCAGAAAAAGACTACAGTAAGAACTGCCAGAGCTACCAAAACTCTCCAGCTGCTGAATTTTCCAGCCACGAAATGGACAGTGAGTCACACATCAGTGAGACAAGTGACCGAATGGCAGATTTTGAAAGCAGCTCTATCAAAAATGAGGAAGAGAGCAAGGAGGTGGCAATACCGCTTGAAGATTCTGCTGTGTCTGATAGCTTAGAACAAATGAAAGCCGTCTATAATAACTTCCTTTCCAATTCCTACTGGTCCAATCTCAATTTGAATCTCCACCAGCCGACTTCAGAAAAAAACAACGGCGGCAGCAGCAGCAGCAGCAGCAGCAGCAGCAGCAGTTGTGGGAGTGGTAGCTTTGACTGGCACCAGACTGCTATGGCAAAGACACTGCAGCAAGTTTCTCAGAGCAGAATTCTTCCCGAACCCAGTCTTTTTAGCACAGTTCAGTTGTACAGACAAAGCAGTAAGCTTTATGGCTCTATATTTACTGGAGCCAGTAAATTCCGTTGTAAAGACTGCAGTGCTGCCTATGACACTTTAGTAGAATTAACAGTGCACATGAATGAAACAGGACATTATCGAGATGACAACCATGAAACTGATAACAATAACCCTAAAAGATGGTCCAAACCTCGTAAACGTTCTTTGCTTGAAATGGAAGGGAAAGAAGATGCCCAGAAAGTATTAAAGTGTATGTACTGTGGCCATTCCTTTGAATCTCTTCAGGACTTGAGTGTTCATATGATCAAAACAAAACACTACCAAAAAGTGCCTCTGAAGGAACCTGTTACACCCGTAGCAGCAAAAATTATCCCAGCTACTAGGAAAAAAGCATCACTGGAGCTTGAACTTCCAAGTTCTCCAGATTCCACAGGTGGGACACCGAAAGCAACAATCTCGGACACCAACGATGCACTGCAAAAGAATGCAAATCCTTACATTACGCCAAATAATCGTTACGGTCACCAGAATGGTGCCAGCTACGCTTGGCATTTTGAGGCAAGGAAATCTCAAATTCTCAAATGCATGGAGTGTGGAAGTTCCCATGATACTTTGCAGGAACTCACTGCCCACATGATGGTGACAGGACATTTTATAAAAGTCACCAACTCTGCCATGAAGAAAGGGAAGCCAATTATAGAAGCCCCAGTGACGCCAACAATAACAGCTCTACTAGACGAAAAAGTACAGTCTGTGCCACTCGCAGCCACCACTTTTACATCTCCCTCCAACACGCCTTCTAGTGTCTCCCCAAAATTGAATGTTGAAGTAAAAAAAGAAGTAGATAAAGAGAGAGGGGTTGCTGATGATAAAATGAAAGAGAAAGAGAAGTCAAATGAAGATGAGGAAAAGTATGATATCTCCTCAAAATATCATTATTTGACTGAAAATGACCTGGAAGAAAGTCCTAAAGGGGGACTAGATATTTTAAAGTCTTTAGAAAACACAGTAACATCAGCTATAAACAAAGCCCAGAATGGTACACCAAGCTGGGGTGGCTATCCCAGTATTCATGCTGCCTACCAGCTACCTAACATGATGAAGCTGTCGTTGGGTTCATCGGGAAAAAGTACACCCTTAAAATCTATGTTTGGAAACAATGAAATAGTGTCACCGACTAAAAACCAGCCCCTACTGTCGCCACCAAGCAGTCAAACCTCCCCTGTGCCAAAAACGAACTTTCATGCCATGGAAGAATTGGTAAAGAAAGTCACGGAGAAAGTGATTAAAGTTGAGGAAAAAATGAAAGAACCTGAAGGAAAACTGTCTCCAGTGAAACGTGCGACACCTTCGCCATGCAGCAGCGAAATCAGTGAACCCCTCAAAATGGATGCCTCCAATGATGGTGGTTTTAAAAGCCAACAGAACAGCCCAGTTCCTCAGAGGGATAGTTGCAAGGATAGTACAGCTATAGAACCAGTGGAAAATGGTAAAGAGCCTGTAAAGTCAATTGCAAGTACATTAAGCAGCAGCACAGCTATTATTACAGATCATCCTCCCGAACAACCATTTGTAAATCCATTAAGTGCACTGCAGTCTGTCATGAATATTCATCTTGGGAAAGCAGCAAAGCCATCTTTGCCTGCTCTGGATCCAATGAGCATGCTTTTTAAAATGAGCAACAGTTTGGCAGAAAAGGCTGCGGTGGCCACCCCACCTTTGCAGTGCAAAAAAACAGACCACTTAGACCGTTATTTTTATCATGTCAACAATGACCAACCCATAGATTTGACGAAAGGCAAGAGTGACAAAAGCTGCTCTTTGGGTTCAGCGCTTTTGTCATCCACATCAACATCTTCTGCATCTTCTTCATCTACAGTGACAACAGCAAAGACATCTGCAGTCGTGTCATTCATGTCAAACTCGCCGCTACGCGAGAATGCCTTGTCAGATATATCTGATATGCTGAAGAACCTGACAGAAAGTCACACATCAAAATCTTCCACACCTTCCAGCATATCTGAGAAATCTGACATTGATGGTACCACAATAGAGGAACCAGAAGAGACTACACCAGCTCAGAAAAGGAAGGGACGTCAGTCTAACTGGAATCCTCAGCACTTGCTCATTCTGCAGGCCCAGTTTGCAGCCAGTTTACGACAGACATCAGAGGGAAAATACATAATGTCAGACTTGAGCCCTCAAGAAAGAATGCACATTTCAAGGTTTACGGGACTCTCAATGACCACAATTAGCCACTGGCTAGCCAATGTGAAATACCAGCTCCGAAGGACGGGAGGAACTAAGTTCCTTAAAAATTTGGACACTGGGCATCCAGTGTTCTTTTGTAATGACTGTGCTTCACAGATCAGAACTCCTTCAACTTATATCAGTCATCTTGAATCACATCTAGGTTTCAGGTTAAGAGATTTGTCCAAACTGTCCAATGAACAGATTAACAATCAGATAGCACAAACAAAGTCACCATCTGAAAAACTGGTGACATCATCTCCAGAGGAAGAAATTGGAACTTCCTATCAGTGTAAACTTTGTAACAGGACTTTTGCAAGCAAGCATGCTGTTAAACTTCATCTTAGTAAAACACATGGGAAGTCACCAGAGGATCATCTTCTGTATGTTTCGGAGTTAGAGAAGCAGTAGCATTTGCTTTTGATTAAAATAACTGTAATTTGCTTTGAGGAAAACTGTCAAAGACGCCTTAAAGCAACTGTTTAGTTCTTGGCACATGTTCTTATTTTAACTCCAGAGAGTCACTCTGGGCTGAACTGTTTTGTATAATTGTACAGTGTTTAATAGAGGTGCATAATCAGCTGTTGTTACTGGTAAAATATGAAGGTTAAAATGCAGTGGTAAGTGTTTGGAACTTTGTGTAAATTGGATTTAGTTGCTGTGCATCCCTCTGATGCATCAAGCTGCATGCATTAACAGACAGTTTAATTAAGCATTTATAACTAATTCTGGTGCACTTTTTTCATGTGACCTAAGTGTGCTGGTATTTCTCACCCTATAATCTTTAGCCCTCTGAGTACTTTGAAACACTTTTGCTTTAATTTGGTAAAATGTATGGATATGTTTTTTAAAACTCTTACCAGCTTAGTTCTAAATTACTAATATGAACCTCCATTTATGCAGAGGTGTATCACACCTTGAAATTTAAAATATTATTTTCACATTGAAACATAGATGTATATATTGTATAGATTTCAAAATCTCTTATGGAAATGCAATTGTGATTAATGCCATGTTTTTCTTCAGCATTTTTAGTAATGACGGTTTTTGTACCTGATATGCCTCAGGTATAAGCTATACCTATATATAATGTATATTTCCTTTTTTAGGTCTAAGAGTTTTTCTTTTAACATCCAAACATTGTAAATTATATGAAAGGCACCACGAATAGCATTTATAAAGTATTCAGAAACATTATTCTTAAAGCAAAGTATGATTGTTTTGTTTTGCTATACAGTACATCTATATTGATAGAGGTTCATGTTTAAATTATACATATTTATTAGTATCGTTATCATTTGTTTTTAAACCAACTGAATAACAGAAGCCATGGACTGCATCCTTGGCCTGCATTATAACTATTTTGCACAACATGACTTTTAAAGGTATTTATTAGTAAAAGAAAATTTAAATAAAATAAAAAGTGAGAGAATTCAAAATAAACTCAGTGCTCAAAGGGTTAAATCTATTTGAAAAACTTGTACTGTATTTCCTAAACATTGATAAAGCCTTTAAAATGTTTGTACTGTAATATTTTGCTTAAAAGTTATGAGGCATTCTGTGATATAACCTTTTACTTATTTATAAGCGCTATTGGTTGTTATTTCATATTGTAGAATGCCTTTTTATTTCAATTGGTAACTTTCTGTTTTGTTCTGCCTAATTATTCTCCCAAGATTCCATACTGCAGCTTTATCTTTAGGCATATGAAAGGTAACCCGTGGTTACCAGCACACTAAGTGATTCTGTTCGTCTCCATTTTTGGCAGTTAATTTGCAGAAGTAACTGACAGCTGACACCATATGAGAATCTATGTATAAAATATTGGCATGTAAACAGCACAGACACTGTAATGCACTCTGTGCCCTGTTTTGTTGTTGACAATGAAGCACCATTATATGACTCTTCATATAACCTTTTTTTCTACAGCAGCATTAAAATTGTCTTTTTGCTATAATTTTGTGTTGCATTCACAATTATGTCTGAAATGTGCTACGACTAACGAGCACATTAAAATTAAATTGTATGCTATCTGTTTATGACTGAAGCTTGAGTAGGTTTCTTCATCTGCCAGGTGCTGGCAGTCAAAAGCTGCACATAAATCACTGGAGTTTTAGTGAACTTTAGCATTTAAAGAGCAGGGTAGCACTTATTCAAAGGCTGCATTAACAAAAATTTTCCCCAAGAAAAGATAAATGAATGTTATAACTCCGCTTTAGAGATCGGGTAAGATTGACTGTAAAGAAGAGAGTTTATAAGCAACATGTGTGGCAAAGCAAATAGGAGTTTTGCTGTGCTGTATATTCAGACTCAGATAGTGATGCTTAAATGAATTCCTCTTGAATATACAGAATAGAGTCTGCAAGTAGTATTAGTAGGTGCTTCATGTCCAAATTTTTATTTATTTAAAAAAAAAACCACACAGCCCCAAATAATCTCTTTTTAAAAGTGACCAGTTACCTGCCTACTATTATTTCTTTCTTTTCTGTTGTCCTCTGCAGTGTAAAGGCTGGTATCTATTTCTTTTAAAACATTAGAAATCGTTCTGTTCATTTTATAAAGAACACAGCTTGAAGTAATATGTATTATTAGTAAATAGGCCCCATAAATAGCAATAATCAAGTCCAGTACTTGGATTATGGACTAGAACTCTGGGGTGTGGGTGTTTTAAATTTTTGTATTGTTGTTGGTTTTTCTTTTTGTCATTTGGCTCAACATTTACATCTGATTTTAAGGTCATTAGTGTATTGAAGTTGATGGTCTCAACTCGGATCCTAATGAACAGTCATCTATATGACAAACCTGCTGCACACAATTTTTGCTGGTTAGCTGCATCATCTCAACTGTATGACCCTACCTTCTTAGAAAAGGTAACCCCTTCAGGCCAGGGCTGAGGTCTTTTTCTCTTTAGTGAAACATCCCTTAAGGCTGTCTGTATTTTTAAGACTAGATTATCTCAGTCCACATTGTAGCCAGAATCCCTCCTTCTGGGAACACAGATTTTCTCCTTGAAAATTAGAACACCTTAAATAGAGCATTGGATTTCAGAACAGAATTTCACTAGTTGTGAGCCTGGCAGATTATTACATACATTTGCAACCCTTATATTTTCAAAAGGCACCATTTGATTGTAAGGTGGCAATGGTAAATAGCATTGTGCAAAATTTTGCTGTTTTTACAGTTTGGGGGAAGGGAAAAACAGGAGAGACAAACTCCTCAGTCCTTTTCAGTATTTGTTTTGTTTATTTTCAAAATGCAGATGGGAGGAGGTAATGATTGTGAACATCAAATACTACATTTGCAGCCCCTCCTCATTTGTGGTGATAATCAATACCTGGGGCAAAATATCATCATATCAATATGCAGTGAGGAGGAGAACTAGTAGAAATACAGGGAGCAGCTATATCTATTAGCGTGTACCATAAATGACTTTTTCATACATTTTCAAAATATCTCTGAAACATTGCAAATAGCTAATCAGGATCTGCATGTCCCAAATTTATTAAAATAAAGCTCAGCTTGCATCTTAGAAGCTCCAAGACTGGCATACCAATGTGATTTCACATTATAAAGAATTCAGAGAATCAATGATCTCGTGTAATATCCTTTTTCCCCATATACTGATATGTAGTTTGGCGTGGTAACTCTCAGTCCTAACCAAATCACCGGCTTCTCTCTGCTGGCACACATTTTCCCCCCTATTAGATGCAGGATTTTTAACAACATTTGAGTCCCTAATTTTTGCTTTGCTCCTGATATTTTATCTAATTTTAGAAATATGCAGATCAAATGTGAGAGAGAACAAAATGCCTAAAGAAAGGGGTTTTAAATGAAATTGTGATGGGGTGGAAGAGCTTTAAATCATAGGTGTATAAAGGTGACCCTGGTCTAACCCCACCCAAGTAGTGGCTTGTTGCAGCATACTGTATATCTTCCAGCCATCACATTTACGCAGTATCTTAAAATAACATTTGTGATAAATGTGCAATTTAACTAATTTATGGTGCTATGATGTGCTCAGGGCTACATGCAAGATGAAAATCTTAAATGGAGCTTGAACAGCTCACTTCACAACAAGAAATCAATATGCCAGATCTTAGAGAGCTGTTCTCTGGAGTCAACATTTAGCAAAAATATCAGTGAATGTATCTTTAAGTTTTAGGCAGCAAGAAATCTATAATTAACTGAAATACTACTTTTAGGTCAGTGCAAGAAACTCTTACTGGAACCTAAATCTCTCCAGCATCTTCATTATATTTTCTTTTGGCATCAAAAATTGTAGATACGTTGTTCTAATTATACCGTTGCTTTCACTGTGCAAGCTACAATGTAATTTTCTAACCAAAGCAAGACAGATTAGCGTTATTTAAAAACTTAATATTCACACTATTGGGATTATCTATTGCATTTTAGTATGGCTGTTAATAAATGCTTAAATGATGTTTTGAAAAGTTAGAAACAGATATATATATATTTCATGGCAACAAGAGGTTTTGCTGTTTGTATCATGAGGTCATTTAAAAAATTATACGCACACGTAAAACTGAAGCAGCTCCTTTAATTCTGCAAGGCTTCAGTTGAAAGCTATATTCAACTGCAAGAGAAAATTAATGAAGTATTCTATGTAGTATGAGGGGAAATGAGATGGTGGTAACAGCTAAATTTATTAAATTTTGCATTTTTACAACTTGTCTCCAGAGAGTTTTGTAAGTTTCTTAGTAAATATCAAAATATTACAATTCTTTTTTCCTGCTTCATCCCAGTAGCTTTTTATTGTAGGACTGTGTTAGTGCTTTACGAAGTAGTCTCATACCTGTACTGTTCAGCGGAGCTGATATAGCATATGTTATAATACGGGCAAAGGTCGTAAAACTTAAAAAAGGTTCCAAAATTATTTAATGTTTAAAAAGTCATTGTATTTGTCTTTTAGCAAGCAGTGAAATCATCAATTGTATTTGACTGGACAGTTATTCCTTTGGTATTAGAAGCACTAACGTAGGGTATTAGCACTAACCCTAGGGTATTAGTAGTAAATATATATATATATATAAAATCTTTGGCTAAAGAAAACCAGTAAATTCTCCTCTCTTGGGACTTCATGCCAAGTTGTGCCTTCCAGCCTTTAGCTGACTGGCTGTAGGCAAATGAGTGAACAAGACATAATTACCCTGCTGCCACCTCTGAACATAAAAGAGGTTCTGAAGTTCAGGGTGTGGTAACATGGTAACTCCATTGCGTTTTCATTAACTGTCGTAAAGTAATACAAATCTTGTATATGTGCAACCCTGATATTGCAGCCCTTATTGGGGAAAACTCCCAATTAAGTCAATGCCTGATTTTCCCAAGTAAGGACTGAAAAGTTAGGGCCCTTTATGAGAGGGAGCAGAATTCGGTATTACATGCGCAATGAGTGTGTGTGTGTAATGAATCAGTAAACATATAAGGAATCTATGTGCATGAATCAGGAATGTACATTGAGGCTAACACACGTTTTCAGGTCTTGGTATTGAGCGGTAATTTTAAACAAACTGTTTAATACAACAAAGATCACCAACATTTATTAATACCTCATTGAATGATTTTATAGATAATCCCATACACCCACAAATTAGACATAGATGCACAGATACCATGGTGATGAGAAGGATATAAAATCTTACTTTATACACCTACAATGTATCTTTTGGTATATTGAATATACGTACAACATAATAAGCATAGAGAAACCAACCATTAGAGAAGGTGAGGTTTTTTAAGCAATAGATTACAACATTTACCTGGGACATATTTAATGTTTTCAACAGCTGTTGCTTAGTTCACTGTGTTTCCTTTGCCATATTTATAACTGGAAATGTGCTTCTGCTTAAATAATCTTTTAAGAGAGTTAAATTTAGATGTGCACTTTGAGATAGATGATGATGTGCCTACACCATTAGCTACTTACATACATGCACCCTTGTGTGCAACCAAAATATGTAACTGAGGATGCATAGAATACTTTAGTTCTTCGAAAATGTGCCTATCCTGCATTCTAGGTGTCCTTATAAATAAATGGATACAAAAAATTTTTTTTTTTTAAATTTCAACCTGAGCGAAGTATAACAAAATATGAAGACTTTTGGGTACCTACATAACAAATCATTCCTTTAGCAATCAGGTTTTAAGGGACACTTGGCTTGTTAAAATAAGATGCAAAATTGTTCTGGATAGAGGCAGATGGGGTAAAAGAGAGAATTCTCATCTATATTTTACAACTTACATATAGCTAGATAAGTCTTCCATAACTACGATAAAAGGATTATCTGTCACTCCCCTCACTGGTTAGATTTTCCTACAGTCAGATTAGAATGAGGTTGCACATGGTTTTACTATGAGACATTTGAACTTTCTGAGTGGTAAGGGGACTTGGTAACACAAAACTGGGGTAATTTTCTGGTTTCTTACATTTTAATACCTGAATTTTAGGGCTCTATTGAATTGAATTTCAAATGATTTAGCACTGAGGGAGAGCCTGTATTAGACCTGTCAGCCCCACACTACTCCCCGGAGAGGGTAGAGTGTTCATCTTTTTTTTTTTTTTAATCAAAAAATAAATGGAGAGAGGGTAACTCTTTTTTAACTTTTTTGTGTAAATTAACAATTAAAAATACTTCTTTAGTAAGCTTCAATATATCACATTCATTTTTTGCCCAGCAGGAAACTGGGGACATGTTTATAGCCATAATAATTGTGAGTTAGTGACCTTTCTAGCCAAGTGAAATGAAATTACTTGAAAATGAAATTCTTTTTAATTGGCGCATTTGTGGGGAGTGGGATGGGGAAAAGAAAGAGGATTTTAGATATCTATATCTAGCTATATGTATAGATATAAAAGCCTAAGGAATGTCCCCAGATTTAAACCTGTGCAGAGAAGGAGAATGAGGTAGGTGTGTCAGGAAGCAGAGTCATATTCTCAGTGCTTTTTTTTTTTCAAACTGGAGGTACAGTCATTGCAGTTACGCCTCAGTGACCATGCAACCGAGTCGGCAAAAGCTGAA